CCAGGTGGGTCTCGAACTTGCGGGCTCAGGCAATCCACTCACCTCAGCCTCCCAAAGGTGCGGGATTACAGGCTGAGCCACCAAGCCCGGCTCAATCACTTAGTTTTTAAGAAAGGCCAGCTTGGCGTGGTGGCTCAAGTCTGTAATCCCAGCACTTTAGGAGGCTGAGGTGAGAGGACTGCCTGAGCCTGGGCAACTTGGTGAGACTTCATCTCTACAATAAATAAATCAAAAAATTAGTCAGGTGTGGTAGTGCGTGTGCCTGTACTTCCGTCTACTTGGAAGGCTGAGGTCAAAGAATTGCCTGAGTCCAGCAGATTGACACTGGAGTGGCCAAGAGCGTGCCACTGCACTTCAGCCTGGGCGACAGAGTGAGACTCCAACTCAAAAAAAAAAAAAAAAGAAAGGCCAAGAGTGGTGTTTAGATTTGGGTTTCAAAAAAGATTACACACTGACAGTGTAGGGGTATGTTAAATGGAACCTGAAGGTACAGACAGACCAGCCAGAAGTTACTGCAGTTGTTCGGGTGAGAAAGAGAATGACATCTTGGAAAAGGGTGGTACCAGTGAAATTAGAAATAAGTGGGTGAATCTGAGACACACTGAGGTCAGTTCTTTAGAACTTGGTGATGGATTGACTATGGGGGTAAGGAAGAGTAAGGTTTTTTTTCCTTTGAGTTGGAGTCTCACTCTATCACCTAGGTTGGAGTGCAGTGGCACAATCATGGCCACTACAGCTTTGATCTGCTGGGCTCAGGCGATCCTTCCACTTCAGCCTTCCAACTAGCTGGAACTAGAGGCATGTGACACCACACCCAGCTAATTTTTTGATTTATTGTAGAGACAAGGTCTGGCCAAGTTGCCCAGACTGGTCTCCAACCTGTGGGCTCAGGCAATCCTCTTGCCTCTGTCTCCCAAAGTGCTAGGATTATAGGTGCGAGCCACTGCACCTGGCTAGAATAAGGTTGTTAAGGATACCTCTCAGTATTTATACTTGCATCACTAGAAGGTGTCATTTACCTAGAGAGGGAACAATGGAAGAGGAACAAAATTTTGGAGGTTAGGGGAGAGACTTGTGAATTCGATTTTGGGCATATTAAGTTGAAATATATAAATGCTGTGAAGGCAGAGACTATGTTTTTCTTGTTCCCTGGTGTGTATTCTCAGTGTCATGCACAGTGCCTGATACACAGTAGGCACGCAAAAAATATTTATGAAAGTACATAAGCGCATACAGACTGACAGAAAACCTTGGAGTCTTTTCTATGTGGAATGGATAATTTTTGTTGTTGTTGAGTCAGAGTCTCACTCTGTCACCCAAGCTGGAATGCAGTGGCATGATCATGGCTACCACAGCCTCTACCTCGTGGGCTCAGGTGATTCTTCCATCTCAGTGTGTCAAGTAGCTGGGACTACAGGTGTGTGCCACCACACCTGGCTAATTTTTTTGCTTTTTTGTAGAGACAAGGTCTTGCTATGTTGTCCAGGCTGGTCTCGACTCCTGGGCTCAGGCAATCCTCTTGCCTCAGCCTCCCAAAGTACTAGGATTACAGGCATGAGCCACTGCACCCGGCCTGGAATGGCTAATTTGATGTGTCAACTTGGCAAGGCTATGGTGCTTAGTTGTTTGGTCAAACACTAGTATAGATGATACTATGAAGGTTTAGAGATTTTGTACATGTAATTAATATCTACAACCAGTTGACTTTAAGGAGGTACCCTTGATAATGTGAGTGGGTCTCATCCAATCAAGTAAAAGGCAGCAAGTATAAAAACAGGTTTCCTAAAGAAGGAATTCTGCCTCAAGATTGTAGTATAGAAATTCGATCTGAATTTTTAGCCTGCTAGCCTGCTTTATAAATTTTGGATGTTAAAAGGCTGAGGTGGAGCCGGGCTTGGTGGCTCAGCCTGTAATCCCAGCACTTTGGGAGGCCGAGGCGAGTGGATTGCCTGAGCCTATGGTTCGAGACCCGCCCGGGGAACTTGGCGAGACCTTGTCTCTACAGTAAAATAAAAAATTAGCCAGGTGTGGTAGCACACGCCTGTAGCTCTGGCTACTTGGAAGGCTGAGGTGGAAGGATCGCTGGAGCCCAGCAGGTCGATGCTGGGGTGGCTGTGAGTGTGTCACAGCACTCTAGCTTGGGCGACAGAGTGAGACTCCAACTCAAAAAAAAAAAAGGTTGAGGCGGAAGGATCGCCTGAGTTCAGCAGGTTGAGGCTGTGGTGACCATGAGCATGCCTCTGTACTCTAGCCTGGCCGAGAGTGAGATTCCAACTCAAAAAAAAAAAAAAAAGTTTTGGATATGCTAGCCCCCACAAACACGTCAGCCATTCTTTAAAATAGCCATCCATTCATCCATCCGCCTATCCATCCACTCATCCTATGGGTTCTCTGGAGAACTCTGATTGATAAACCATAAAATAAAGTGGAAAACAAAGCAATATGGATCAGAAGGTCTTTGCCCAGCTTCATATCTGCTGTGCGACCCTGGACATTTCCATTAACTTCTGAGGCCTATTTTCCTTACTAGAGATAACTATAGTATCTAAATGATCACTGAAATCTCCCAAATATGATTACAATCTTGGTTTAAGGCTGCCTTGCACAAATTCATGAACGTTGCAAATTTATCCTTTAGACAAAATTGGTTTCAGTATGATAAAAAAAAAAAAAACTCCCTACATCATTATGGTCACCAATATGTACTCTTCACATTCATTTTCCACTTAACCCCGCACAAGTGCTCATAATAGTAATACAATGTATTTTGGTGGTATTTCATCTTTTACCTCTGACAATGGATTCAATTTCTTTTAAGGTGGCTTCAGTTTGAGCTTCTGTGAGTTTTTCATTGATTTCCATTATTTCCATAAGGAATTGTCTGTCCACTTCATAATCTGTCCCTTCTGGTATCTCTATTCCATGGAGCTTTAGCTATATGGGCAGAAAGCAAGAATAATACATTCAAGAAACTGTAGACAGAGTCATGTAAATCCTACTCATCCTTCACAACATAATACCACTCATGGGGAAAACTTGAGCTTTCCCAGTAATGAATGAATAGGGGTAGGGTATCCAAAGCTTGGACTGAAAAAGGGGTGCTGGGATCCCACTCATGCTACTTGGAACCACATGACCTTGGGGTAGTCATTGTTCCACTCGGAGGTTGAACTAGATGTTTGTAACGATTCTACTCAATTCTAAAATTATCTGGATTCTCAGATCTCCTAAAAAAATGCACCAAATTACTCTTATCCAAAAGCCACGATTATCAAATTCTTTTTTCTTTTTTTTTTGAGTTGGAGTCTCATTGTCACCCAGACTGGAGTGCAGTGGTCGCTCCCGGCCACCGCAGCCTCGACCTGCTGGGCTCCAGCGATCCTTCCGCCTCAGCCTTCCGAGTAGCCGGAACTACAGGCACGCGCTACCACGCCTGGCTAATTTTTGATTTATTGTAGAGATGAGGTCTCACCTGCCCAGGTGCGTCTCGAACCCACGGGCTCAGGCAATCCACTCACCTCAGCCTCCCAAAGGCGTGGGATTACAGGCTGAGCCACCGAGCCCGGCTTCAAATTCTTGAAACTCATACAAAATGAAAAACAATTAAGAATGCAATTGGGACAAGTAATATTTACAAAGAATACTCGGAGAAAACTACACTTGTGTAGTATCTTTGAGGCTAAACATCACTGGGTCTCTGGACTAGCTCAGGTCTCAGGTATTCTTTTGCTGAATATAGGGGAAGCAGCTGCCACAATAGGCACCAAGGAGTCATATATAGAAGGGGTGGAAAATCACCTTACAAGGTACAGTCCCCTGCTCAGAGGGGCCAGAAGGGTCTTATAGGCATCATTCACCAGGGTCGAATGTGTCTCTGAGAAATCCTTTTCAGTCTGTTAGTGGAGAAGAAGAGAGTCTTACTACTATTCAAATCAGCCACTTTATATTCACAAGCTTTGCTAATATGCTGATGGGCAGGCACCTAAGGAAGTATCTAAAGTAGAAATGGTGTTGGATGAGGTATTTTTATTTTCAGTTTAAGGGTTAGAAGTTGTATGGGAAGTCAGATAAAAACTGAGTGAAGGACAGCTCTGAGGGTTTGGTAAGTTGGGGTCAGGCTGCCACAGGGTGGAGCTGGTCATTCAGCTCTGTCCCTGATAACCACATAACCACAAGGCCACTGCCATCTGGTATACACATGTTTGGAGATTATTGGGGGTGGTCAATAAGCTACCTGAGACCTCTGGCTGAAGAAGTCTGGGTGGACAAGACGCTGTAGTTGTTGGTACCTGTGCTGGAGCTTTGTGGTATCAACTCTGAAGGAACGGTTGCTGGAAGGAAATTGGGAGATAAAATTCATACAACAAGCATTGAAAGATTTGTCTACATGGGCCTGGCTCCTGCTCTTATGGGGAAGATGCAATAAACATATAACCAGGCCGGGTGAGGTGGCTCAAGCCTGTAATCCCAGTACTTTGGAAGGCCGAGGTGATGGCGATTGCCTGAGCCCACGGGTTTGAGAACAGCCTGGGCAACTTGGCGAGACCTCATCTCTACAATAAATCAAAAAATTAGCTGGGCGTG